ATAGCCACTTTTTTAAAATTTTGCAGTTCCATAAAGTTAACTAAATGAAAATCTCTTAATTTTTCTAGGTTTTAGCATCTTTATCTTTTTTTTTTTTATCCTCACCTGAGGACATTTTTTTCTATTTTTTGTTTAGATAGAGTGTGGGAGGGAGAGAGAGAGAGAGAAACATCGACGTGAAAGGGTCACGTCGAGTGGTTGCCACCCACACAACCCAACCAGGGCCGGGGACAAACTGCAACCGAGGTACATGCCCTCAGCGGGAACCGAACCCGGGTCTCTCAGGACCACAGGCCAACACTCTAACCGCTGAGCCAAACTGGCCAGGGCAGCATTTTTATCCTTAAAATGAAAATACTAATAGTTGCACACCTGAGTTGCTATAAATTAAAGGTATCTCATGTAATCACAATCACAGTTAATCAAGTTAAATGATGGAAGAAACCTCAAAAAGAAATTAAGTGATGAAAATCATCTAGTCATCACTTTTACACAGGTGACATGGTATAATGCAGAAAGTGTGTATCTAGAAATAGATGTGTTGTGATCTTGGTTCAGCCACTACCTCACCCTGGTATACTGGCCATTCATTTATTCCCCAAATACCTATGGTATAGATGCCTGCTACTAATACTAGTGAAACTACTCATAATAGATGCTCTACCTTCCTCACAGGCTGTTGTAAGGATAGGGTGAAATAATATATAGGAAAATTCTTAAAGGTAAAAGAGCTATGAAAGCATGTAGTAATTTTATTCTATTATATTCTATTATTCTATTCTATATTACATATAAACCGTGGCCAATATGGTTCAATAGGTTGGATGTTGTCCTGTGCACCAAAAAGTTGCTGGTTTGTGAAATTAATCACCAAATTGCTATTTCAATCTCCTAAATTTCATTCCAAAAGGATCTGATCATTTTTTTACTCAGTCTACTTCTTTATTAAAATGAGAAAGTACTGCCATCTACTGGACTCTGAAGTCATTACTGCTATAGTTTTTAGTCTGAGAAAAGAATTCTTCCTAATCTGATGTTTTTTGTACTTTGTCAATAACCCAATAGTTAGAATTATTATAACAGCAGGAGTTACATAAAAATAAAATTCCAGTCCGGCTGGTGTGACTCAGTGGTTAAGCACTGGCCCATGCACTAAAAGGTCGCCAGTTTGATTCCCAGTCAGGACACAAGCTCAGGTTGTGGACCTGAGCCCTGATGGGAGCATGCAGAAGGTGGCCGATTGATGTTCTCTCGCACTGATGTCTCTAGCTCTCTCTCCCTCTAACGTCCCCTCTCTCTAAAATCAATATAAGAAAAAAAATTTTTAATAATAAAACTCCAAAAGTTTGGAATGTATGTAAAGTACAGTGGGAGAGAGAAATAACATCCCCTCAAAAAGTTTAATTATTTCTATGATAGTCTTAAATATAGCAAGCATTCACCTGCATTCATTAACAAATTTTTATTGAGCACCCACTGCAGGCCAGGCATTGTGGAAGGGACAAAATGATGACAGAATGATAAGCATTAGAAATGTAATCCCTCTTATCAAAAGGTTTAGAGCCTAATGAGTAGTAGTTTCCGTGGTTATAACATACGTTAACATCTTTAATGCTCAAAAACAACTTATAATGAGGTAGAAATTATGTCCACCTGCAGACACAGACATGACTCAATTTGTCCAAGATCTCCCTCGCAGATAAGTAAACTCACATCAATCTGACTCCAAAACGCATATTCTTAACCACTAGGAGTGTGCATTCACCTAGGTAGATGTCAGCATCCTCCTAACAATAAGAGTAATTGCCAAAAGGAAATTCAGGCAAAGATAATACGTCATGTTTATATTAAAGGCAAAACTCCTGACTTGGATCGGAAAGGGTTCCAGCTTATTGGATAAAAAGCTGGCCCAACAGCCTCTCATTCCACCCTGTTCCCCAGTCTCCATCCTGGCAGTTAAATCCACATAGAAAACATCTCAGCTGGCCACCTAACCATCCACCCCAATTTCAAGTTCCCACAGTGCTCCTCTTACAGTCCCCAAACATTTGAAAGAAGCACCTATTCCTAAGGTGCTCTTCAAATTATTTAAGGTTCTGCTATAATTCACCTGCATTATCTGCAAGACCCAAATAATTGATATCAAACAATTTTTCAAACTAAACCTATTTGTAAACTAGTGCTCTTCTGGAATACATGCAGCTTTATCTCAACTAAAAAAATAAATGTTTGTCGATATGTGTCTAATACTTTTGTATTCTACAGTACCTGTCAGATAATATATATAGATATAGATACAGATATATAGATATGTGTGTGTATATCTATCTATCTATCTATCTATCTATCTATCTATCTATCCATCCATCCATCCATCCATCCATCTATCGCCCCCAGTTCCTGGACCAGAGCTCCTAAAACCCTTGTAATTATCCTAAGCGATAAGAGCCTGCAAAGTGTCTTTTTTTCTAACATTTGGCCTCTGACCCAGGGCCCCTGAAATCCTCGTAAACCTCCTGGGTGAAAGGAGTGTCTTTTGTTCTAATGAGGCAACAGGAGCCCAACAGTGAGCGGGCTCCTGGACGGCTCCTAGATGAGGGCTGGTCATCTGAAAGACCAAGCCATGATCAGAAGCTTGGAATTTTCAGTCCCACCTCCCACTCTCTTGAGGAGGGTGAAGGGTTGAAAATGGAGTTAATGATCCACCATGCCTACGTGATGAAGCCCCCATAATACCCCAAAAGTACAGAATTCAAGTTGGGCAACACATACGCACCAGGATGGTGACATACCCCAGTCCACAGGGACAGAAGCTCCTGCGGTCGGGGCCCTCCCAGACCTTGACCTACGCATCTCTTCTATCTGGCTGTTCATCTGTATCCTTTAGCAAATCCTTTAATAAACATAACCGTGTTTCCATGCATTCTGTGAGCCACTCTAGCGAATTAATCAAACCCAAGGAGGGGTCACTGGAACCCTGGATCTATAGCTGGTTGGTCAGAGCACAGGTGACAACCTGGGACTGCTACTGGCATCGGAAGTGAGGTAGACAGGGCAGTCTCGGGAACTGAGCCCTTACTTAACCTGTGGCATCTGACACTAGCTCCAGGTAGACAGTGTTAGAATTGAGTTAAATTGTAGGCCACCCAGCTGGTGTCGCAGAGGATGACTTGTTGGTGTCGGAAAACCTCCACACATTTGGTGACCAGACGTGGCAGAAGTGACGTGGGAGCAGTCACGGAGCCACAGAGGGAAGAGAAACAGGGAAGAACTGGGTTTCTCTCCGCAACAGGAGGGAAGACTGCTTTGCTTTTCCCTTTTCAGAACCTACTTTGATAATGAGCACATAGTAGGCACTTAATATATATTTATTTTTAATAGTTAACTTATTAATATTTTTTATTATAGATGTCCCTCCTTTTACCCCTTTGGTACCCTCCTCCTCGCTCCCACCCCATCCACCGCCTCCCCACACTGTCGTCTGTGTCCACTGGTTATGCATAAATGCATGTAAGTTCTTTGATGGTACTTAATATTTATTGACAGAAAAAATCATAAATCATTTTTACAACTAAAGATAGATTTTCATCATCATGTATTCAATTATCTCTTTGCACCTGTTAAATATTTAAGTTCCACGTTTGTATGCCAAATGACTGTACTACATAAAATTAACAAGAACATACTACTACTCCCTATCAATGGCAGCAGAGGTTACTGAACAAAGGATTCAAACCCACAGTATATGTTTTAGCCAAAGATTTTCAAATGCACTGATGTCCAAACACCCTCCTAATGGTGAGACTGAACTACCCGTCCATTGTAGTTGAGACATTTACTAGGTTCCTAAAACTCAACAGTTTCATCAAATGAGTAAAGCCTTTTTGGAAAACAAATTTAAAAAAGAGGCAAAAGTTCTGAGCAAATAAATAAGTAATTTCAGCTTTTAGACCCACAGTGGCTGAATAGAAGAAGGATTAACAGCCACATAATCTTCAGAAGTAATAATAAAATGTCTGGTTACAGCTAAAGTAAAAAAAAACAATGCCAACAACTGCAGTCACTGTTCTAAAGGTCGCTGAGAACATCTTCCACGAGCGTGACCCTTCCTGTGTGTGGAACAGGCAGCCTTTCAGAGCACAGGACAACACGACCAACCGAGCCACTCCGGCGGGCCAGCTGTGAGGTTTAAATGAGGTGAAATATGTAAAGCACTTAGCATAGGGCCTGGCGCATAAGTGCTCCCTAAAAATTAGTGATTATTATTATTGCTAGGGGCAAACACTCTACTCTCCCGTGTTTCCACACAAGAGAAAAACTTCCCACTTCATTTCCCAGGGAAGAAGGTCAGAAAAAGAACATGTGCAGTTTCTCCGCGTCCTTCGCTTGCTTCTCCCCAGCACGGGCAGATTACTTACCTGACCGCTGGGCTAGGGAGATGGCACTGGGCCCAACGGCCTCGGCTATGTCAGCTCTCCTCCCTCCCAGGAGCAGCCTCCTGACCACACACCATTCTCTCGGGGCACGGAGGACCAGGCTTCGCCCGTGTACGGGGAAGATAGTGGATACTTGGTAAATACGGCTTCTCTTCCCTCTCCTTTCTCTGTCTTTAGAAACCGAGACAGCACTGACTATAATATAAATTGACTCACAGTTTCTTAGATGTACTGAAAGTTGTGAAAGAGACCAGAAACATGCAATAAAACTGTATTGCATTTAATCAAAATTCATCATTCTTTCTTAATCTCCAAAGTATTACATAGAGTAAGAAAAAGCAGTTCAGATTTTCCGTGAGGAAAATGAAGATAATCTAGATTTGGAAAAGATGAATTGGTGGTTACAAAAATAAGGTTTCATTTTAAAGGCATTCACCCTAAGCCACACGAAAAAACAAACTGACAGTAATACCTAACACATGACTCTGCTTACACAGAGTATGTTTCTGTAAGTCAAGGCCTACCCACACTAAACAAACCCCAGCACTAGGAAAATCCTCTTACCTTATGTTCAAATGGAGCACCATAGTATCCATCATTCAGCCCAAAAATTATTTCGTTTTGGTTGCGGGCATGAATCTAAGAGAGGAGGAGAACATACTATTAGTTCCTCTCATTCCAATACGATCAGAGGATGACAGTTACACAGGATACACTTCAGTGCTAACAAGCCAGCAGAAAACAAATGACTATCACTGGACCAGGTAATCAACTGAGGTTTCCTGCTTTAGCCAAAGGCCTCACAAAACCATCACATGAGATCATAGGCACCATTATTCACATGGATTTTCCACAAACACTTCTTGAGGTTATTGTAGAAAGACTATTCCTAAAGGACAGGGATTCAGAAGTCGATCTCATGCATTCTCTTATATGAAGGAAAACACCATTCAGTTAGTCTATAACAGTACCTTAAAGCACATAAAGTCCTAGGGAAAAAAATAAAAGATTAATATTTTCTATTTTCTAAAAGGCAATTTAAAGATAATATCTAATCCCTAAAGTCTTTAAATGTCTGCTTAATTATTATCTGCACATCATTCTCTTTCAAATGCAACTGATTTGAGGTTTAGTCATTCTCACCTCAAATTAAATTTCACCTGACAGGCAGGAAGATTAAAACTTTAAAATTTAAGAATTAAGGTAAAGCACAGTCAGTGTGGCTCAGTGGTTGAGTGTCGACCCCTGCACCAAGAGGTCACCAGTTTGATTCCCAGTCAGGGCACATGCCCAGGTTGTGGGCCAAATCCCCAGAGGAGGGCATGCAGGAGGCGGCCAGTGGATGTTCTCTCATCGATGTTTCTATCTCTCTCTCCCTCTTGTTCCCCCCTCTCTCTAAAAATCAATAAAGAAACAAAATTTTTTTAAAAAATAATTAAGGTAGAAACTGCCCTGGCCAGTTTGGCTCAGCAGTTAGAGCGCTGGCCCGTGGACCAAAGAGTCTCGGGTTCGATTCCAGTCAAGGGCATGTACCACAGGTTCAGTTCAGTCCCCGGCCCTGGTGGGGGTCATGCAGGAGGCAACCAGTCGATGTGTCTCTCTCACATCGATGTTTCTCTCTCCTCCTCTCACTCTATCTGAAGATATTTGAAAAAATATCCTCGGGTAAGGATTAAATAAATAAATAAATAAAAATGTTAATTGCTTTTGCAGTGAAAGACTAAATGAGGGTCCAAGTGGGGAAAGACAAAAAGGTTGACCTGAATAAAATATGCAGTCTCTTCTTTCTCTGGCTATAGACGAGTAGCCAAAGCCAGCAGCAGAAAATTCTTGTGAACATTCATCTAACTTCACATGTTTCCTGTTTACCTGCATCATTTACTTAACTGAATACACCATCACCAAAAGATGAGTGTGCAATAATAAATTTACAATAACAACTATAAATCTATCTCAAGAAGTATTTCATTTTATTAGAGAAAATATAAAATCAGTGTCAAGATTAGAAGGGACCTGAAATTTTATATACATAAAATATTTTATATATCACTGGGGGGCGGGGGGGGAGAATGGGCCCTGGCCCATGGTGTGGCTCAGCTGGTTGGAGCAGAGTCCTGCACACCAAAAGGTCATAGGTTTGATTCCCAGTCAGGGCACACACCTAGGTTGTAGGTTTGATCCCTGGCCCTGGTTGTTTGGGGCGCATGCCGGAGGCAGCTGATAGATGTTTCTCTCTTACATCAATGTTTCTCTCTCTCTCTCTCTCTCTCTCCCCCCCCCCCCCCGCCTTCCTCTTCTCTCTAAAAATGAATGAATGGCCCTGGCTGGTTTGGCTCAGCGGTTAGAGCGTCGGCCTGCGGTCCGGAGAGACCCGGGTTCGGTTCCCGCTAAGGGCACGTACCTCGGTTGCAGTTTGTCCCCGGCCCTGGTTGGTCATGCGGGTGGCAGCCACTCGATGTGTCCCTTCACGTCGATGTTTCTCTCTCTCTCTCCCTTCCTCTTTCTCCGTCCCACTCTATCTGTACAAAAAATGTAAAAATATCCTCGGGTGAGGATAAAAAAAAATTAAAAAATAAATAAATAAATAAAAATGAATGAATGCATTCTCAAGTGAGAATTTTAAAAATAAAATAAATAAATAAATAAATGTTAACAATGGTTGTAGCTGATCAGAAGGATTATACATAATTTTTTATTCTCTTCTCTGTGCTTTTCAAAATTTTCCAAATTGTCCACAAAAAAAAACATGTATTACTTTTAAAAATGGAAGAAAATATACATTTGGTGGGGGGAGGGGGGGATGGGGGCACCTAACAGCAGGAGCAAATTTAATATGAAGGTAAAGTTCTCAGAGCATAAGCTTCATGAAGATGGTATTAAATTAGTTTGCTAAAAATAAGAGACAACTTGGTTCTAGTACTTGAAAAAATAGTGAGCTAAAAAAAAAAAAAAATCAAGTGATCTGGGTTCTAATTTCAACTTCAATTCTGATCCCTAGTGCCTAACACTCTACCCAACTTATAATCATTAATTAATGTTAATGGTCCATTCTTTAATTCCTTTGTCAGCCAATAGCAGAAAATGCTTTTTGCTCCATCTTACAGATGTGTCATAAAGATTAAAAGAGCCCCAGCCAGTGTGGCTCAATTGGTTGGGCATTGTCCTCAGGGTATATGCCTTGGTTACAGGCTCAGTCCCCAGTGGAGGACATGTGGATAGCAGCCAATCAATGTTTCACGTTCACACCCATGTTTCTCTCTGTCCCTCTCCCTTCCTCCCTTCCCCAGTCAGGGCATAAATAAGTGGAACAACACACTGATGATTGTCTCTTTCTCTCTCTCGCTCTCTCTCCTCCCTTTCTCTAAAATCAATAAATAAAAATTTTTTAAAAAGAAGAAATCTTAACATCCAGATGACTTCACTAAACAATTCTGTCAGCCCTTGCCAGTTTAGCTCAGCGGTTAGAGCGTCGGCCCTCAGACCAGAGAGTCCTGGGTTCGGTTCCCACTAAGGGCACATACCTCGGCTGCAGTTTGTCCCCGGCCCCAGTTGGGGTCGTGTGGGTGGCAACCAGTCGATATGTCTCTCTCACATTGATGTCTCTCTCTCTCTCTCTCTCTCTCTCTCTCTCTCTCTCTCTCTTCCCCTCTCTCTCCTTCCTGCTCTATCTGAAGATAAATGCAAAAATGTCCTCAGGTGAGGATAAAAAAAAAAAAGAATTCTGTCAAACATTTGTGAAATAAATAACAACTCTACAGAAATTCCTCCCAAAAATAGAAGAGTAAACATTTCCCAATCCATTTCATGAGGCCAGCATTACTCTGATTCTAAACCAGACATGGCCATTCCAAGAAAAAAACAAACCAATATCCCTCATGGACTTAGATGAAAAAAGCCTTAATGAAATATTAGCAAATAAAATCCAAGGAAACTTCTTCAACTTGACAAAGCATCTACAAAATGTATAGCTAATATACTTAATAGTGAAAGCCTAAATACTTTCCCCCAGATCAGCAACAAAACAAGAAGTCCGCTCTACACTTCTATTTAACATTGCACTGGTAGGGGACTGCACTGGTAGGGGACTGCACTGGTAGGGGACTGCATTGGTAGGGGACTGCATTGGTAGGGGATTGCACTGGTAGGGGATTGCACTGGTAGGGGACTGCATTGGTAGGGGATTGCACTGGTAGGGGAGGGTGTTGGAGAGGGGAAGGACTGAGCAGAAAAACAGAAGAGAAAGAACTCATGGACATGGACAACAGTGAGATAATTTCAGGGGGCGGGGGCGGTCTGTGGAGGTAGAAGAGAGCATAAGGGGGATAAATGGTGACAGAAAAATAAAATAAATAAATAGATGTAAAAAAAAAAAGCCATAAACATTAGAAAGAAAGTAAACCATCTGTATTCACCGACAACATGATGACTAAACAGCCATCTATAAAAGGAACCCACGAAGTAAAAAAAAAATACTACTAGATCTAATAAGCGAGTTTAGTAAGGTCATAGAATTTTAAAAGATAAATACAGAAATGCTCCTACATAATAGAAACAAAAATTGGAAACAGAAATATTTTTAAAGGAATAACACTTAAAATAATAGCATCAATACACATGAAATCTGTTGGAAACACAAATCCAACAAAATATGTGCAAGATCTGTATGCTGTATGCTACAAAGAGAAAAAAAAAGATGACTGAAATCAAAAACAATTTTCACAAATAGAGAGATACATCATGCTTATAGATTAAATCCTCAATATTTTTAAGACTTCAATTCTCCCCACATTTTCTTAAATTCAACACTTATCAAAATTCCAGCAGGATTTTGGTAGAAATTGACAAGTTAATTTTAAAGTATATATATAAAGGCCAAAAGATCCAGAAGAGCCAGAACAACTTTGAAAAGAGAACAAAGTTGGAGGATTCATGTTAACTGAATTCAAGACTATTGAAACTTCAGTAATCAAGATAATGTGGTACTGGCACAGGAACAGACATATCGATCAGTGAAGAGTCCAGGAATAAACATACACAAATAATTTTCAACAACAGACTTTCAACAAAGATGACAAGGTAATTCAATGAAGAAATAATAGCCTTTGCAACAAAGAATACATGAACAAATGTTTATCCATCTGCAAAACAATGAAAATTGCACTTTATATAAAAGTTCATTCAAAATGGAGCATAGAAATAAACGTAAAACCTAAAACTATAAAGTTTCTAGAAGAACTTCATAGGAGAAAATCTTTATGATCTTGGGTTAGGCAAAGATGTCTTTAAAGAAGACAAAAAGAATGAAACATAAAATAAAAAACTGACATAGTAGACTTTATAAACATTTAAAAACTTCTGTTCTTTGAATGATATTTTTAAAAAAATGAAAAGACCAAGTCAGACAGGCAGAAAATATTTAAAAATATATATACCTTATAAAGAACTAACTCATATCCAGAATACATACAGAAACTTTACAACTCAATCACGAGAATTCAAACAAAATAAAAAATGGGCAAAAGATCTAAGCAAACATTTCACAAAAGAGAGAAAGCATGTGAATACAACAGAGAAATTGATGGCTAAGAAACTTTTTTAATGCCCCACATCATTTTGTCATTAGGAAAATTAAAATAAAAATCACAGTGAGATACCACTTCAAACCCATGAAAATGGCTAAAATTAAAAAGACTGACAATAACCAGTGCCTACAAAGACAGAGATCTATCATTCTATGCTGAAGGAAAAGCAGAATGATAGTCACTTTGAAAAGCAGTATAGCAGTTTCTTATAAATTTCAACATAACTTACCATTTGGGCAATAAATTCATTCCTGGGTATTTACTCAAGAAAACGACAACATATATTTAAATATGTAGCGGTAGTTACTCAACTTTATACATTTTTCAAACTCATTAGAGTGTACATTTTAAAAGAATGAATTTTATTGTATGTAAATTATACCTCAAGAAACCTAACTTGTAAAAACCATTTCAAAGTCAGCTCTCCCTGACCCTATCCAAGCTTGTCGAAATGCCCCTTTCATGTACTCCCATAGCTTTCTATGTAGCAATTCATATATTATCGGATTATGGGATCTAAGAATCTTCTCTTAATCATCTGTGGATCCTTAACGCTAAGAACAATGCCTGGCAGAAAGCAGACCGATGAATCTAAGTCATTCTGGCTATTGTCCTGATACATTTTAGTCTAATTTTCCTCTAAAAATGTGTACTTCTATTTTGTCTGATTTCCTAGTAGCATATAGCTTGTCATACCTATTTCATAGATTAGTTTTAAATTTCTACAAAGATGTTAAGTTTCTAACTGGCTTAAAAAACATGTTTTTCTCTTTCTTTTGTTCTCTATTATACCAGCATAACCAACTTGGTATGAAGACATCTGAATGCGGACTCTCTGAAATTAGGACAGGTTAGACATAAGCACAGTTGGGGGATTTTAAGAAGATGACCACTTGAGAAATGTGTGAGTTGAAAAGTATGATGAAGGCCATCTTCTCTGGCCAAAACCTCCCCTACAACTCTAGAGCCTATAGCCCTGCACAAAATGCAGATACTTTCAGAAGAAAAATAAACGAGTGCTTAACATCATAGTCTCTCCACAGAGAGCCAACTACAGCGTGTGGGAAGACAGAGAGGGCGTGTGCTTCAGTTCAGGGCCCTGGCTGGCCAGCCTCAAGGCCCCTGGTTGGCCAGCCTCAAGGGCCCTGGTTGGCCAGCCTCAAGGGCCCTGGTTGGCCAGCCTCAAGGCAACACGCTTCTGGAACTGAAAAATAGGAAAAAGGTCCTAACCATAAGTCATTTTATATTATTAATTTTAAATTAACACCAGCCCTAAAACAGAGGGAAAACAATACAAAATTAAAAACGATTAAGAATTTGTAGCAGGTTAGAATTTAAAGAAATATCTATTACATGCACTGAACTGGTCATTATAGAAGGACCCAAAATAAATAAAGTATATTTTTTTATCTGAAAAAAATATGTAGAATTAAATTGTTTCTTTTTTAAAAAAAATTCACCAAGTATACAGTAAATAAAATACCATTAAGAAACATCAGGGCCTGGCCGGTGTGGCTCAGTGGATTGAGCATCATCCCATGGGCTGAGAGGTCCCCATTCAATTCCTGGTCAGGGCACGTGCCTGGGTTGTGGGATCGATCCCCATTAGGGGGCGAGCAGGAGGTAGCCCATTGATGTTTCTATCTCTCTCCAAAAAAAAAAAAAATATATTAAAAAAAAAAAAGAAACATCAGGGAATTTGTAGCTATGACTAACATTTTAGGGTTACCTTTAACAGTAGTCCCAAGGTATCACAAAATAGAAATGGCATTCATTCCAAGTTAAAGTGGGTAATTACCAAGGTCTACATGTATATACCAGTGTGCTACAGCACAAAGAGAATGAGTTTTTAAGTCAGCCTGGTCTGAATTTAAATCTTAGCTCCAGCTAGCTATGTGATCTTGAGCAGTTTCTTAAATTCCCTGAGGATTAATTTTCCCATCTGGAAAATAATTGTAATAACCTATGTCCGGCAATGGCAAACAGGTTTCATTTCATATGCAGTCCGAATGCACTGCAGTTGCGTCCTGGATCACCATGTTAAAAGGAATTATGGAGCTACTTCTGAGCTCAGCTAGAAGACTATGATCACCTAGCTTCATCATTCACGGAGTGGGTAACAGTTTATAAGCTATGCATTGGTCATCCCTGTGCCCAATAAACGGTAAGCATCTCTTCTCACTCCTAGAATAACCCAGCTCTACTGGTCATAAAAGAAAGTGTTTAATAGTATGTTCCTTATTTCAGATTCTAGGAGAACATCGAATAAGACAGAAGAAGCCTTGTGCTATGAGAAAGCATACTTTCCTATAAAAAAAAAAAAAAAAAAAGAATCTCTCACCCTGGCTAGTGTGGTTCAGTTGGAGCATTGTCCTGTACACCTCAGGGTTGCAGGTTCAATCCCCAATTAGGATGTGTACAGGAAGTAGTCATTAATTTTTTTTAATCCCTCTTAAATGATGAGATTAAGGTCCTTTTGCATAAGTTTCTTAAACTAAAGGTGTTTTTTTTTTATACTCGGTAAGATTCAAATTTCTATAATTAAGTAAACAATTATTAAATGTGTAATAAGAATGAACAGAAAGTTAAAGAGGTTAATTTAGAGAAGACAATTATTTGAAACTACAGCCTCAAAATTACCTGCTGACCCAAGTATTTCAGCCCATCCAAGCAGACTTTCCACTCAATCAGCAGCTGGTAGACATCCTCCTTCCCACCCCATATCTTCACCAGGAAACAAGACACAGATGTATCAAGACGGTCTGGCATTATTCCAAAATCAAGACTCCGCCACGTTGGGTTCTGTTGATGGAAATGAAAACATGCTTTAGGAAGACTCTAGCTTGTTTACAGTTATTTCTATCAGGTTGTAGATCACATCTTGTTTTTAAAAACCACAGACTTCATAAATGTATTCAATTGCAAACTTAAGTGAACCAAGAAGACATTCCAATTAACACGACAGGGGTGATAATGTTGTTTTTAAATTTCTCTGCTTATTTATTATAGTCAATAAAAGGTGAATATATTCTTAGTCTCTCAATACAGCTTCATATAATAATTCTTTCATTTATTCAACAATTAAGACACAATTATTTATTTTTTCTTTTTTTGGTACGTGCCCCTAGCAGGAACCGAACCCGGGACTCTGGTCTGCAGGCCGAAACTCCAATGGCTGAGCCAAACGGGCCAGGGCAAGACATAATTATTAAGAACTGACACATAAACAATGCCCTCAAAGTATCTCAAACCAATTATAGTTAAACTTCTATTCAAATGATTCTATTGTATCATGAAAAGTTTAATAACAGACTGATGCAAAAAGTTATACTGTAGCACAGGAGAGAATAATAAACTTTGAAGGAACAAGGGAAAGACATCACAGAGGCTATGAAACTTGGCTTTTAAAGGACACATAGGTCTTCACCTGGTTAAAATAAGGAATTCCAGGCACAGGGAACAAGATAAACAAGGGCTCAGAGGTGTGAAATAGCAGGTTGTGGTCAGGGAACTAAGACAGTTGCTGGAGCACACAACACAAAAGTGACAGGACACGAAGCTGGGGGAGGTAACAGGGACTAAACTGAAAGAGATGTTACACCTTGCCAAAGAAGCAGTCCTTCATTGTGTATAAGATATGGGGCCACTGAAAAGTTTTAAGGTTAATGAACATGCTAACAACATGGATGAATCTTACAAATACTATATATACTAAACAAAAGAAAATGCGCCATATTTTCAAAAACAAATCTATGGTGCAAAAGTCAGAATAATAGTTCTCTTTGGGAAGAAGTAGTAACTAGGAGAGCACAGAGGTGCTGATAATGTTCTATTTCTTGATCTGGTTACATTGATCTCTTTGAAAAATCAGCAGGCTATATTATATGTGCCTTTTAATGTGCTGTATCTCAACTGAAAGTATTAAAACTAATTTTTAAAAGACCCTAATAATTGGAAAAATACTGCATCTTACAAATCAAATGAAGGCATCTCTTCATGGTATAATTTTAGGCCCTAAAGCCTACATAGCAGGAGTTGGAGGACCTTCCTGGCCTTCAAATCTCCACCACAGGAAAAGGCAGCCATTCACTCACCTATGTGTACGATTCTGAACAAAAGTACATGTGCTCTAGAATATAAAATAACAATATAATTTCAAAACCTCATTGTCAATGATAAGGCCCAGAAAAAGCATGAAATAATCACTGCTTTCCAAAGTGTAAAAGTAAAGACTTGGTGAGTGTGTCTGGAGAGCCATACTGCATGGGGGATAAGATTTTTGAAGCAACTGTTATATTCAATATTCTTAAATACTTCATTCTAAAATAACTTAAGGAGGGAAGAGATAAACCACAGAACTTATATGCATGTACTCATAACCAATGGACATGGACAACAAAGCCGGGGATGGGGTAAGGGGGGGTGGGGGGAGGGTGTCAATGGGATAAAAAAGGAGAAATACCTGTAACAAAAATTTTTAAAAAGTAACGTATAAAAAATAGTAATAAAGTAAAATAAGTTAAAAGCCTTTGGAGGGGAGAGTAGTTTTCTGAAGTTATTTCATGTGGCTGAATAGATGACCTGGGTTTCCTTTCTAAGGCAATGCAACATTAATATAGTAAAGCTATTGTCAACCTTATTACAGTGACCTTCCTTTATCCTTTTATAAAACAGCTGCCAGACAATGAACACTAATTCCTGAGTTGGTGAATTCAGATACAGGCAGACACAGTCTGCCACACATTCAAAGACTTTATTGCTCAGTAATGTTACTATAAAGATCCATAACATTATTTTTACTTATATTTACCTAAACATGCCAGCCCATTTTGAAGATGAACAAATTATTCAAGTACTAACGGTATTTAGAGACCTATACCATATTCACTCATTCACATGGCAGAATATCAAGATATTTATAGCTTCAAAAAGTTCACTGCCTATTAACTACTTACAAGAGAATTTAAATTAGTATTCATTACCAGGACAATTTCTCTATAACATTGATCAATATCTGTTCAATTCATACCTTATTAAAGAAACACAAATGTAGAAAAATGTCAAAACACATACAAACTAGCTATCACTGCTCTTATCACTCAATAACAAATGTTGTGGTACACATATACAATGGAATACTATGCAGCTGTAAAAAAGAAAGATCTCTTATCCTTTGAGGCGACATGGAGGGACCTCGAGAGTATTATGTTAAGCGAAATAAGCCAATCAGAGAAAAAGAAATACCACATGATCTCGCTTATTTGTGGAATATAATGAACAAGGAGAGCTGATGAACGAAATAGACCCAGAGACATGGAAAGGAGTATGGTTCAGACTGACAAACCTCAGAGGAGGGGGCGGGCGGGATGGATGATAGGAATCAAAGAACTTATATGCATGTATGTATAACCAATGGACATAGACAACAATGCTGGGGGGTGGAGACGGGGCAGGATAGGGAGGAAGATGTCTAAGGGGGAAAAAGGAGAAACAACTGTAACAAAAATAAAATAATAAAAACTGGGGGAAAAATAAATGTATGGTCACAAGAAACACAACTAAGAATTCATAAAAGTTCCAACTTTCTCAAAATATACAGGTTAACTCTCAGAAACTGCATACTGAATTTGTAGTAGCATTTATTCTGACTCATTCACTTCTATTCATCCTTCATGCCTCAACTTAGGAACTACTTGCTGTTAGAAACTTTCACTGACCACCCTCTCCAAAACTGAGATAAATAATACTCCTACATATTTTCACAGGGTCCTCTTCTTCCCTGGCACTATAACTGCATGTGTCAATTATCTCACTCTCCCTCCAAATCATGTAGTTGACCAAAATGAAGCTGGAGAACCCTCAAGACAATGCAGTGTAACACGGAGTAACGTAATTCAGCATAAGCAAGAGGAGCCAACTCCCTACACACAGACACACCCACAAAGATGAAATGTTAATTCACTCAGCCACAATTCAACTGAAATGGAAACTTGGTTTGAGAATCACTTAGCCAGTATCATAAATGACTATTTGTACTGTGCAATTCAGTTTTTCCCAGGATTTAAAAAGAACTCAGGCAGTCACATTTCCAACACAAGTTTATGGTTCTGATCATTGTGTCACATGCTTTCCCTAAAACAACACATCCTCTGGAACTTTGTTTACTCGATTATAAGGCCTATCACTGAGCTCGAGTAGAACTCTAGCAGACATTGATCAGTTGAAGAAATGACACAGAAGCAACAAGACACTGAAGAACAGCAGGGGTCTCAAACACAGCTTTACAGCGAGAGCTGTATCACCTCACATCTGTCAGAATGGCCGCCATCAATAAATCATCAAACAACAAGTGTTGGCGATGGTGTGGAGAAAAGGGGACTCTACTATACTGCTCGTGGGAATGCAAACTGGTGCAGCCACTGTGGAAAACAACGTGGAGTTACTTCAAAAAGTTAAAAATTGAACTGCCATTTGACCCAGTGATTCCACTTTTAGGAATATACCCTAAGAAGCCTGAAACACCAATCAGAAAGAATATGTGTACCCCCATGTTCATAGCAGCACTATTTACAATAGCTAAGATCTGGAAATAATCCAAGTGTCCATCAGTAGACGAATGGATAAAAAAGCTGTGATACATGTACACAATGGAATACTATGCAGCTGTAGAAAGAAAGATCTCTTATCCTTTGAAATGATATGGAGGAACCTAGAAAATATTATGCTAAGCGAAACAGCCAAGCAGAGAAAGACAAATATCACATGATCTCACTTATTTGTGGAATATAATGAACTAAACAAGCTGATGAATAAAATTGACCCAGGGACATAGAGGTGGGGTACAGACTGACAAACCTCGGGGGGGCGGGGGGGATGGAGAGGGAGGAGATAAATTACAGAACTTATATGCATGTATGCATGACCAATGCACATAGACAACAAAGCTGGGGATAGGGTGGGGAGGATGGGGAGGAGGGTGTCAATGGGGGAAAAGGGAGAAACATCTGTAACAAAAACAAATTCATAAAAAAAAATTTTTTTCAATGTCTTTTAAAAATCCTAATAATTAACTTTATAATTGTTGAAGATGGCTACAGATGGGTTCACTATAATTCATCTTTACTTTTGTGTATGTACAAAATCCACTTTAGAGAATTGTTACTTTCAATCATTTTAGTTATTACCAATGACCCTTCAATCATATTAAGGATCTAACTTCCTCTTGAACAACAACAATAAGAATTCCCAAAAGTTAACAAATGGTTTGGAGGGTATGACTAGCTGAAACCAGAGACATTAAAGTTGAATTATACATTCACCAGTAATTATTCTATGCTAAATATATCTCAGAAGAAACCATCACTCTGACATGTAATTTGCAGACACATCACCATCTAACCTATCAAAGGTGGCTTATTCTTGTTACTCAATGCAACGGACGTTTATTGGCCTTCTCTGGGTAAAGCATCGTGCTGGTGACATTAGAAATTAGAAAACTGAATAAGTTGGGGGTCCTCATCTATCAGATGCTCCTAATTTTGTGTGTCCTATAACTGTACCCCTTCCAAATATTACTGTCTGCTATCCAGCCTTTCACTGTCATCTCCTACCTCTCCAGGTCATTTCCTCTGCTGCCTGGTCCTCCATTCCCTTGACCCAGTGTCATCCTTGCCTAGCAAAATCTGAAACCACCCCTGCTCACTCCACCTCAGCCATACTAACTTCTTAGACATTTCTTGAAAACCTCAAATACACTCTGGCCTTTGTACTTTCCTGTTTCTTGGCTTGGAACATATCTATAT